GAGATCTTTCTAACTTTTTGATGTGGCCATTTAGTGCTGTGAATTTCCCTCTTAACATTTACCTTAACTGTGTCCCAGAGATCTTGATATGTTGTATCTTTGTTCTCATTATTTTCAAAGAACTTTTAAATTTTTCATTAATTTCAATGTTTGCCCGAAAGTCATTCAAGAGTATGCTGTTTAATTTCCATGTAATTGCGTGGTTTTAAGCAATTTTCACCGTCTTGACTTCTATTTTTATTGTGCTGTGGTCCAAGAGTGTGTTTAGTATGATTTTGGTTCTTTTACGAGTTATTGAGGATTGTTTTATGTCTAATTATTTGGTAAATTTTGGAGTATGTGGCATGTGGTGATGAGAAGAATGTATAGTCTGTTGTTCTGGGTGGAGGGTTCTGTAAAGATCTATCAGATGGTCCAGTGTTGAGTTTAGGTCCCTAATATCTTTATTAATTTTCTGCCTTGATTGATGATCTGTCTAATACTGTCAGTGGAGTGCTGAAGCCTCCCACTATTATTGTGTGAGAATCTGTGTCTCTTTGTACATCTCTAAGAACTCACTTTATGAATCTGGGTGCTCTTGTGTTGGATGCATATATATTTAGGATAGCTGGATCTTTCTTGTTGAATTGAACTCTTTGCCATTATGTAATGCCCTTCTTTGTCTTTTTTGGTCTTTGTTGGTTTGAAATCTGTTTTGTTTGAAATTCGGGTTACAACCCCTGCTTTTTTCTGTTTTCCATTTATTTGGTAGATTTTCCTCCATTCCTTTATTTTGAGCTCACGAGTGTCATTATTTGTGAGATGAGTCTTTTGAAGACAGTATACCATTAGGTCTTGCTGTTTTATACAGCTCGACACTCTGTGCTTTTAAGTGGGGCACATAGCTTGTTTATATTCAAGGTTAGTATTGATACTTGTGGATTTGATCCTGTCATTGTGTTGTTAACTGGCTATTCTGTTGGCTTGTTTGTGTGGTTGCTTTACAGTGACACTAGTGTGAGTGTTGTGTTAGTTGGTAGCTGTCTGTCCTCTGTATTTAATGCTCCTTTCAAGATTTCCTGTATGGCAGGTCTAGTGTTAATGAATTCTCTCAACATTTGCTTATCTGAAAAGGATCTTATTTCTCCTTCACTTAGGAAGATTGGTTTGGCTGCAAATGAAATTCTTGGTTGAAGACTTTTTTCTTTAAGAATATAGGTCCTCAATCTCTTCTGGCTTGTAGAGTTTCAGCTGAGAGGTCTGCTGTTAGCCTGATGGGGTTCCGTTTGGAGGTGACCTGCCCCCTTTCTCTCTAGCTGCTTTTAACATTCTTTCTTTCATTTTGACCTAGGAAAATCTGACAATTATGTGTCCTGGGGATGATTTTCTTGTGTAGAATCTTGGAGTAACTCTCTATATTTTCAGAATTTGACTGTTGGCCCCTCTAGCAAGTTTGGGGAAGTTTTCATGAAAGATACCCTGAAATATGTTTTCCAAGTTGTTTGCTTTCTCCCTGACACTTTCAGGGTTGTTTATGATTCATAGATTTGGCCTCTTTGCATAATCCCACACTTCTCAGAGGTTTTGTTCATTTCTTTTTATTCTTTTTTAAAATTGTACTTTAAGTTCTGGGGTACATGTGCAGATCTTATGGGATTGTTACATAGGTATACACATACCATGGAGGTTTGCTCCCTCCATCCTCCTGTCATCTACATTAGGTATTTCTCCTAATGTTATCCCTCCCCAACCTCCCCACCCCCTGCTATCACTCCCCTAGCCCCTACCCCACAACAGACCCCAGTGTGTGATGTTCCCCTTCCTGTGTCCATGTGTTCTCATTGTTCAACACTTATGAGTGAGAACATGTGGTGTTTGGTTTTCCATTCTTTCATCAGTTTGCTGAGAATGATGGTTTCCAGCTTCATCCATGTCCCTGGAAGACATGAACTCATCCTTTTTTATGGCTGCATAGTATTCCATGGTGTATACATGCCACATTTTCTTTATCTAGTCTATCCTTGATGGGCATTTGGGTTGGTTCCAAATCTTTGCTATTGTAAACAGTGCCACAATGAACATACATGTGCATGTGTCTTTATAGTAGAACAATTTATAATCCTTTGGGTATATACCCAGTAATGGGATTGCTGGGCCAAATGGTATTTCTATTTCTAGATCCTTGAGGAATCACCTCAAGGATCTAGAAATAGCATTGTGTTCCATAATGGTTGCATTAATTTATGCTCCCACAAACAGTGTAAAAGTGTTCCTATTTCTCCACATCCTCTCCAGCATCTGTTGTCTCCAGAGTTTTTAATGATCACCATTCTAACTGGCATGAGATGGTATTTCAATCTCATTTTGATTTGCATTTCTCTAATGGCCAGTGATGATGAGCCCTGTCTCACTCTCAAGGACATGATAGACTCACAGGGGGAAACAAGGCTTGTAGAGCAAAGAGAAACAGGCACAAATTTAATGGGATGAGTGCAGAGAAAGGGCAGGGGAATAATGTCATGTTGGAGAATCAGGCAGGTTTCAAAGAGGAGGGGATGTTCTGGTTGGGCCATGAATATGATTTCACTGGATGAAGAAGTGCAAGGAGGGAATTCTGGCCTGAGGCAACAGCAGCTGGATGGATGAACAGCCAGCTGAGTGTGTGTGTGTGTGTGTGTGTGTGTGTGTGTGTGTGTGGCTGCAGCATAAGGTGTGGATCTCAGGTGCTGTGCTAAATAATTTAATGCTTTTGACCACTCTGCAAAATGTATTTTTTTCATTTTACTTTTTCCAAAAACATTTCCCATTTTTTATTTTACAGATGAGGAGACTGAGACCTAGAGGGGACATCTAGTGTGGCCAAGACCACACAGCGGGAAAGCAGTGAAGGCTGGGGAAGGTCAGGAAAGGATGTGTTGTGAGAAGGGGATTTCTCTGGAGGCTACATGTGGAATCTGGCTCATGGGTAGAGGGACCCCTGCGGAGCTGCTGCACAGCATGGTGAGGGATGAGAAGAGGAGGGTTTGGGGGGTAGAAAGGTCCCAGCTCCTGTCCTATCTTTGAAGCCCTGCAGCCCACTCATCCTAGAGAGGAGTGAGGAGGCAGCTCTCAGGGAGAAAGGCCGTGACTCCACGAGACCATGCACAGTCTTCCCGAGAAGCATCCCCTCTCGTCACCCTGTTCCCATCCCAAGTCTGGGACAACCTTTTCTCAAAGGAGACTAATTGATAATCCAGGGTGATAAAATGTTATCACTGTCATTCCATTGAAATGCAACAGCAATGCCCTATAAATGTTCTATAAATCACCCAGAGCTTAAAGAGGAGAGTGAAATGAGCATTGCATTATAAACCACAAAGCCCATTAATCACATGGCTACAAACCATAAATATGACAAGTACATCCATCAATCCTGCATCTTTCTTTCTGGTCTGCAAATGCACGCATTAGCAACTTAATGGATTTAGAAGGCACTTTCTCCTATAGACTCGGAAACAGAGAGTATTTTATTATTAGCCTCCTGGGGCTAAAAGGAAGGAAAAAGGAGTCACCTTTCACCACAGTTCTCAGGGGCATTTCAGGGGGTGTCCAGGTGGTGTCCAGGTGGTGGCTACAGCCACTGACTGCCTGAACTCTGGACACATCAGAGACCTGGGACCTGGCCTTGGGCAGTAACAGGACTTTTGGGGACCAGGATCTGCCCTGCTTCCTGCCCTCCACCTGTTCCCAGCTCCAACAGCTGAAGGTTCAGGCCTGCCCTAGACTTCTGGGTCAGTCTTTCCATCAGATTAGAGAGATTGATGTTAGCATGAGTTAATAATAACAAAACTGCAGCCTCACTTCATTTCTATTACAGCTACTCTGATTTTGTGTCTTAATGATAGGCTTCTTTCTTCTGTCTCAGTCTGCACTTCCACCTGGCTCTGAGAAACCAATAGACACAGTCCTTGCCCTTTGGGGCTCACGATTGAAGGGGAGGTACACACCCTATGTGTGGAAACGCAAAGACAGGGAGATCCAGAGATGGCAAGAGCCCTGGTTCTCCTCCTGGTCATGGGAGTCCTTCCTCGTCCCTCCCCCTCTGACCTCAGGGCTGGGGCCTTGCTGGACTTACAGATTTTAGCCCTTGGTGGGTCCATCCTGTCTTCTCAGGATTGCATGATGGGCCCGGCTCACAGGTGTGGGAGCAGATGTCTTCTTTCCATTGCCTGGTGAAGAGAGGCAGTGTCTCAGATGAACAGGACAAAAGTTTTGAAGTCAGACAGGTCTAAATTTGGACACCAGCTGTGTGACCCTGGGCATGTCACTTTGTGACTCGGAACCTCGGTTTCCTTCCCCATGCATGCGGGTAGTCTGTCTTTCAGAGTTCGTACTACTAGTAACTGACATGTATTAAGTCTTTCACAGTACTTAGTGCTGTGCTAAGTACGTTACCCTATAAAGCTCATTCTATTCTTGCAACTGCTGTGAGGGGCTCTTGGGAGCCTGGAGTTGGCTGGGGTGGGGGCTATAGTTGAGAAGCCTCAAACCTCCAGGACAGTGGTTCTCAGTTGGGGTGATTCTGCTGCCTGTGGGGTGTTTGGCAATGTCTGAAGGTATTTTTAGTTGTTTCAGTTGTTTTATATAGTGGGTAGGGGCCAGGGATGCTACAAACAGCCTGCAATGTACAGGACAGCTCATCCGGGCTGATGAAGAATTATCTGACCTAAAATGTCAGTAGAGCTGCCGTTGAGAAATGTCGGTGTAGGAGAACCAGGCTGGCAGTAAAGCTAGGGGATCATAATTCCCGTCTCAGCTGTGGGTGCAGGATGCTGGTCTAACTGGGTTATGACCCAGACCCTTTCTGCAATACGAGATGTGTCTCTGAAAGCAGGCCCGGTGATGCCTTAGTTCCATCCTCTGGGCTGGGCTTCTGTTCCTGCAGTTCCATTCCTTTCTCACTGTCTCACTCCCACCCACTCCATCCCTCTGCAAACGTTCGCTGAGCACCCGCTTCATCCAGAAGGATAAGACCCAGCCCCCAGCCAGGAGCAGACAGCGCACAGCCAATGAAGGTAGAACGGCAGAGAATTGGATGTGATGAGGTAAACAAAGAAGTCTTGGCAGCTGGCATGGGGGCTCCCCTAAGGGAGGGAGGATCTTCATCTGGGAACGTGCCTCGGTAGGGCTGGAGCTTCAGTACTGACAGCACAGGGTCAAGCCCCCACATTCCAAAGTGGAGGTTCTGCCAGGGCTCTGGTGCTGGGCTTCACATTATAGTCATCTGATGAGATGGGGCCCGCCTCTCACCAATTCAATCAGAATTTCAGGGACATCTGCAGTTTGAAAGCTCCCCAGGGGATTAGAATGGGCAGACAGTTGAGAAGCACATGGTTTTGGCTGGCCAGTCTCCGAGACAGATGCCAGGTGTGCACCACATCCCACAGGTAAGTGTCATTTGGTAGGTTCAGGAGTCTGGTCTGCTTAAGGTGGCTGTGACATCTTGCAGGTGCAGGATTTCATAGAAGTTTCTCTCTCTCCATCCTCCATTCTGTCTGAACACCTGTTCAGCAGGAAAATACTGATTTTCTGTGGAATAGGAGATGAGAGAATGGAGGATGTAGAGAGAGGAATGAGAAACATGGAAGAAAGTTGGAACGAGGCGAGGACAAGGGCCAGGGAATTTTCCTGGGGAGGGGCCCTGTGGTTGTTTGGGGTGCTCCTGCTGCCTGTGGGTGTTCCTCAGTGTCTGAATGTATTCCCTCTGGTTGTCTGGGGTGATTCTGCTGCCTGTGGGTGTTCCTCAGTGTCTGAATGTATTCCCTCTGGTTGTCTGGGGTGATTCTGCTGCCTGTGGGTGTTCCTCAGTGTCTGAATGTATTCCCTGTGGTTGTTTGGGGTGCTCCTGCTTCCTGTGGGTGTTCCACAATGTCTGAATGTATTTCCTGTGGTTCTTTGGGGGGATTCTGCTGCCTACACGTGTTTGGCAATGTCTGAATGTATTCCCTGTGGTTGTTTGGGGTGATTCTGCTGCCTGTGGGTGTTCCACACTGTCTGAATGTATTCCCTCTGGTTGTCTGGGGTGATTCTGCTGCCTGTGGGTGTTCCACACTGTCTGAATGTATTCCCTGTGGTTTCTTGGGGTGATTCTGCTGTCTGTGGGTATTTCTCAGTGTCTGAATATATTCCCTGTGGTTGTTTGGGGTGATTCTGCTGCCTGTGGGTGTTCCTCAGTGTCTGAATGTATTCCTTGTGGTTGTTTGGGGTGATTCTGCTGCCTGTGGGTGTTCCACACCGTCTGAATGTATTACCTGTGGTTGTTTGGGATGATTCTGCTGCCTGTGGGTGTTCCACAATGCCTGAATGTATTCCCTGTGGTTCTTTGGTGTGATTCTGCTGCCTGTGGGTGTTCCTCAGTGTCTGAGTATGTTCCCTGTGGTTGTTTGGGGTGATTCTACTTCCTGTGGGTGTTCCTCAGTGTCTGAGTATGTTCCCTGTGGTTGTTTGGGGTGATTCTGCTGCCTGTGGGTGTTCCACAATGCCTGAATGTGTTACCTGTGGTTCTTTGGTGTGATTCTGCTGCCTGTGGGTGTTCCTCAGTGTCTGAGTATGTTCCCTGTGGTTGTTTGGGGTGATTCTGCTGCCTGTGGGTGTTCCTCAGTGTCTGAATGTTTTTCCCGGTGGTTGTTTGGGGAGATTCTGCTGCCTGTCGGTGTTCCGCAATGTCTGAATGTATTCCCTTTGGTTGCCTGGGGTGATTCTGCTGCCTACAGGTTTTGGCAATGTCTGAATATATTCCCTGTGGTTGTCTGCCTTGCTGTAGGGGCCCCTCTGATCCCCTGCCAGTCTTCACAACGTGTTTCTGTGAACAGCATCTTATGTATCTGTAAGTGTGTGTAAACCAAAGAGGGGGGCAAAATCTCACATACTGGTGAGTCTCAGGCAGAGCAAGACACCCACAAAGAAGCAGGGAGCCCACAGGAATTGGAGGTTAGAGAGCATCGGCTCAGGAATAGCAGATGTCTTTGGTGAGGGTCTCTGTTTTGAGATGGAGTTTCACTTTTTTTGCCCAGGCTGCAGTGCAGTGGCACGATCTTGGCTTACTGCAACATTCGCTTCCTGGGTTCAAGCAATTCTCCTGCTTCCGCCTTCTGAGAAGATGGAATTACAGGCATGTACCACCATGCCTGGCTGATTTTTTTGTATTTTTAGTAGAGATGGGGTTTCACCATGTTGGTCAAACTGGTCTCGAACTCCTGACCTCAAATGATCTACCTGCCTAAGCCTCGCAAAGTGCGGAGATTACAGGTGTGAGCCACCGTGCCCTGCCCAAGTTGCCTAGCTTTCTTTTGCCATCAACCTGTCCAGATCTCAGGAAATAAGACAATAAATGACAATTTCTTGTTTACGTGCAGACCTCTGTGGAGGCTTCCCAGTGCAGACTCGGGGCTCTGGTTGCTTTCATCTGGAGCTTACACACAGCATCTGAGGAAGAGGGGGAAGAACAAGAGCCTGGTGGAGCCTCATTTGCCCTTGATCATCCTGTCCTGGAAGTGACCCCTCACTTCTGCTCAGATTCCATGTGTGAGAATGAGGCACAGAGTCCCACGGACACACCAAGGGGCTGTGAGCTGAGGAAGAAGTAAGTTTGATGAACATGTGACCAGTCTCTGATGCAGACTTCTATCGTCCTCTGTGTTTCATAGGTGAGCCATTCAGTGGGAGAGATGTGCGGAGGTACAGTGAGGGCACATGGGAGATAAGAGTTTGTTTAGTCTGGGCAAGTGTTGGAAGGCTTCCCGGAGGAGGTGCTGCTGAATTCGGTCCACAGAAAAAGCCAGAGATAAGGGCCAAGAGGGCTAAGGAATGTGATTTCCATCTGTATCTCCATGCCTTGGCAGACGTATTAGTGTATGTTGCTGCTATATCAAATAGCCCAGCTAGTGGCTTGACACAACACAGATGATGTTACCTGTCTGTAAGTTAGAAGTCTGAAGCATGTCTCACTGAGCTGAAAAATCAAAGTGTCGGTCGGTCTGCTTTCCTTCTTGGAGGCTCCAGAGAAGAATCTGTTTCCTTACCATCACCAGCTCCAGGGTGCTGCCACATGCCTCAGCCCTCCCTCCATCTTCAAAGCCAGCCATATCCCATCTCGCTGGCATTCTGATATCACCATATCTCCCTCTGACCATAGCCAGGAGAGGAGTCTTTGATTTTAAGGACCCAAGTGATTAGATTGGGTCCACCTGGATAATCCAAGCTAATTGCCTTAACCTTAATCACATCTGAGAAGTTCAGTACTTAAAGTGACATATTCACAGGTTCTGGATATTAAGATATGAACATCTTTGGTGGTGCTGGGGGGCCATTCTATCTACCACACACATGCAATGTCTTCTAGCTGAAATTTCCTGCCTTCTCTTTGTCTGTCTGGCTAACCTCTATGCATCTTTCATGACCCATTCAAATATCTTTCCCCACTTCCCACCAAGAAACTTTCCCATCACTCATTGGGAGGTTAGTCTCGCCTTCAACATGTTTCTGTTGTGCGTTTTGTATCCTACCGTAATTATTAGTGCACTACCCCCAAACCCCATTGCAAAATCTTTGGGGTCAGGGTCTCTGACCCAGTTATCTCTGTGTCTTTAAAATCAACCATAATGTTGGGCACAAATGTGCTCTGTGTTTGTAGAGTAAATGGCTAACAATCTTTTTTTTTTTTTTTTTTTTTTTACAATGTTCTATTCAGAGAGACTGGAAGGCTTATATTACATAATTTAAGGAAATCTCATCTTGGCCTAATTGTTCCTGTAGGATCTCAACTTTTATCTGAAGGCCTTTTTTTTTTTTTTGACATGGAGTCTCCCTCTGTTGCTCAGGCTGGAGTGGAGTGGCATGATCTTGGCTCACTGCAACCTCCACATGCCAGGGTCAAGTGATTCTTCTGCTGCAGTCTCAGCTTCCCAAGTAACTGGGATTACAGGAGCACACTACCGCACTCGGCTAGTTTTTGTATTTCTAGAAGAGATAGAGTTTTTCTGTGTTGGCCAGGCTGGTCTCAGACTCCTGAGCTCAAGTTATCTGCCTACCTTGGCCACCCAAAGTGCTGGGATTACAGATGTGAGCCACTGTCCCAGGACTGAAGGCCTTTTATATCTTAAAATTTAATTTCTTATTTGTAACTTACTGTTAGTATTTTAAAATACTTATATAAAGATATATAACATATAACCTTTTATATTTATATTATATAACTGGAGTAATATTTTAATTATTAAATAATAAAATATTTGACCAATATTTAAAATATTTAATATTTTAAATTATTTTTAATAATTATTTTTTATAAAGCATACATAAAATAATATTTTTATTATTCCAGCTAAGACTGGAAGATACTGAAGGTTTACTTTTTAAGTTTGTGGAGCCAATAATTATTACATATCTGTACTACATTTCTAGAGTCATTGAAAAATTAATTTCTTTCTTCTTGAACTCCAGATAATAAAAGGAAAAAATCATGTTACTACACAGAAATGTGCCCTAACAAACACCCTGATGTATTTAATCTCAAACTTTTTTTGGTTTATATGTTACATATAAGTATACATTTTTGTTTGTTTGTTTGTTTGTAGAAAGTGATTTATTTAGAGACAAAGAAACAGGAGGAGGAGAGAAAAAAACAGCTAACTCTCACGCTGAGTGAGAGAATCCGGAAAGAAGGAATCCAGGAGAGGAAAGCAGCTTCCACACTGAATGGAAAGGAACAGAGAGAGATGGAGTTTAGGAGGGGAAGACAGGCTTCCATGAGCGAATGTGGAAGGGGACCCCAGAGGGAAAATCCAGGAGAGAGAAAGATGGCTTCCATGAGAGTGTTCATGGAAGGCGACCCAAACATGGAGTCCGAAGGGGTATGGAAGAAGGGATTTTTAACCTGGAAGGAACCCTCACTTTCTCCAAGACCCCTGGCCATTGAAAGGAGTTTCTTAGAACTTCCGCTGGAATGATTGACTCAGTTTCTTCCCATTCCCGTGAAATTCAAACATAAACTGTTAAATCTCCCAGATGGAGAGAGAAGGGAGAGGGGCATGGTGCTGGGAAATTC